CACGCACGCACACACACCCAGCCACCAACCCCACACGCACGCACACACACACACATATTAATATTTTGAAGTTCGCTATCAATGGTTGTTGTTGGGGTTTGAACCCACGCACATATTAGAAATACGCAACTGCCCTAACCACACAGGTGGATTGGGTCCCTGTGCGGTTTTGGGGACTGCTTCTTTATGAAGTGTATCCGACGTCAGGCAGCTGACAGGTCAGAAAGTGCCTGTGTCCAAACCCTAACGTTGCACAGTGTGGCAGGCGGGTCCAGTCCCGCAATTTTCAAGCACCGAATCTGGCGATTTTGCGCGCTCAGACGAATTGAGAAAAAACTCTGAAAATTTGAGATCCCGTAGATTAGGTTGTGATCTTTCTAGGAAAAATATCAAAATAAAAAATAAAAAAAAATTAGACCGTGAATTAAATGCCGCACCGTTTAGTTGCACTGTCCATTTTTGTCATTCTTGCACGTGTTGGCCAACGGGAAAAGTACCCCAACTTCCGCGATTTTTTGCGCTCAGAAGGATAACTCCACAACTCTGAAAATTGACAGGCCTGTAGACTGGGTCGTGATCTTTCTACGAAAAAAAAATTAAAAAAATTAAAAAAATATTTAAGATCGTGAAATAAACACCGCGCCAATTCGTCCTATATTCATTTTTTGGGGTCTTTTGCTGCTGTATCATGTGACGGCCAACGGGAAAAGTACCCCAACTTCCGCGATTTTTCGCGCTCAGAAGGATAACTCCACAACTCTGAAAATTGATAGGTCTGTAGATTGGGTTGTGATCTTTCTATGAAAAATATTTTATAAAATTAAAAAAATATTTAAGATCATGAAATAAATGTCGCGCCAATTCGTCCTATGTTTCTTTTGTTGTTGTTGTTGTTGTTGTTGTTGTTGTTGTTGTTGTTTTTAATATGAACAGCTGCTATTTTATAAATCGGGAAACGGCCCCGGCGTCCCTTACAAAAGGAGAGCAGACCCAGTCCTGTTTCCGGCAACTCCGGCCGGATCCAGCACCGAGCTGCAGAATATGTCATCCTGAGCAAGAGTTATCGTCACCTGTCCCTTCACTAACATCTCCTAACATCTCTTAACATCTCCTTTTTACTCAGGAAATCTAATTCTCCACCTAAAACTAATCACAGTAACCGTGTCAACCATAATTGAGTAACCTATATTCCTCCTACTACCACAACACCTCACATACTAAAATCAACGAAGTTGTTAAAAGGGCCTTTACCCGATGTAGGCCTCAGGCCTTGTAGAAGTAAAGCAGTATAGGCCTTGTAAAAGTAAAACAGCATGAAAGGGTATCTCGCCAGGGCTCAGAAACGTGAAAGCAGGTCAAAAGTCAGGTTCTCTATCAACGGGCACATCCAAATCTAAAGCAAAGGGGCATTGTCAA